TCAAGATATTCAAAATTTTGAAGCTTGATCATCAAGAAATCAAGAAAGTCAAAAGTCAAATTGAAAAGTCAAACTTTTCAAGACTTAGAAAAATTTCTAAGTGTTTTAAGCATGATAATTTCATAACTTCATGACACTTTTTCACCAAGATGCGAGATGATTCAAAGAAAACTTTCAACATGAAAGTTGTATATATTTATGAGATATACAAATTTTCTTTACTTATCAAGTCCTAGAAGTACTTGTATTTTGAGTTATAAATTTATGAAGTCATGCACTTTTTCTAAAACACTAAAATTTTCAACAAGTTTAGGCAGATTTTTGACCTAACTTCTTGGCCAATTTTCACCAAGCTCAAAGAGGATTTTGTTAAAATGGCCAACATGAAATTTTTAGAGAATGTTCCAAGATTTCCAAAATGTCCAAGAACTTGAAGAGATCATTATTGAGCTAGGAGATTCGAAGACTTGAAGTTGGCATGTTAAACTTGAATTATAAGTCATTTTTGTGATGAACTCATAATCGAATCTCATAACCTTATCATTCAATCTCACTTTTCAAGACATGTTGCTTCTAAATATCTCCATAATTAAGTAATTACACAAGCTATTAGTGTATTACACAAGGATTTGATGCTTTGTCCAAGTCTTGATACCGTTTATGGTTGAAATTGCAAAAAGTAACATATCCACTTTGATAAAGCAAGTTTTATGCTAACCACTCTATTCACTCAAGCTTGTGACTTATTCCAAAGAGTACAAACAATCTTAGTGATCAGAGGCAATGTTATAGTAGCTAGCAAAGCATGACAAAGTCCCTTGAATCACTTCTTTCATCATCATGAAGAAAACTTGCATTTTGTGCATTTTCAAACCAAATTCAAAATCATAACTTGCTATCTCAAGATTCTGGTTACTTTAAGATGTCAAACCTCTTGCCTATAAATAGAGGGATCATTTGTAAGCCATACCACGAATTTACAAGCCCTTAAGCCCTCTCATACACTCTCAAACCCGAATTGGCTATAAAACTCATTTCTTGAGTTTTCAAAATCCATTTCTTTGAAACTCATCACTCTTGCAACTTTTATCCAAACAAATAATCCAAACACTTTATTTACATCATATAGAAGTGATTCAAACACCTGTTTCACTTTTGTAATCAATCTATCATCATATACCATTTTTAAAATCCACCATTGCAACTTGACTAGAGTAGACCAATTCAGACACTCTCAAGGCAAAGTAAGAGTTGCAACATACTCACCAAGGTCCAAAGAAGCTAAAGCAAGCATCACATTACTTCTAGAAGTCGTGTAGAGGACATTGAATTTTTGCATCAAGAGGTAAGTTTTTCCAACTTTGAAATCTTGATACAAGCATCATTTGCACTTACTTTTAAAAGATAAAATATAGATATCATGTCTATGAAGCTAACCATATCCTTATATTTCATTTTAATTGACTGTAGGGTGAGGATTTTGAAACTGAATTTTTTGGACATTTAGGTTTTCAGTTTGGTACAGCTAGAAATCCGTGAGTTATAGTGGGAATTTAAATAAAAAATAATTACATATTTGAAATCCTTGCGAAATTCTAAGCAAATTTCATTTTTACATTTTTGAATTTGGGTGAGAAATAAGGAAGTTAGAGTTTTAAAAAAATGAAAATCATATATTGTTATAGTAACAGTAACAATGAGTGCAAGAAAAAAGAAGAGAAAAATCCAATTTTTTGAAAAGAGTTTATTTTATATTGAATGGAACATGTTTTATAAATGGATGAAATAGCCACCCCAATGGTAAATAATGTGTGCGCTAAGTCACTTATTTATAAGGACCTGGGTTTGAGCCTCAGTGATACCCTTTTTGCATTTTATTTGTTATTTTTCAAACTATGCAGGTTTATTATATTTTGTGTGATACGTGTATCTAAAACATAAATAGGTGCTTAGCTTGGTGGTAAGGATGTGTGCTGGAGTTATGGGTTCAACACCCACTTTAAGCAACTTTTGTTTTTTCTTTTCTTTTCTTTTAATTTCTTTTGTTATAATTTATTTTTATCATTTTCAACTAATTCTTTTTGCATCTAAATTTAATTATTTCAAGCTGATTTTTTGTACACTATTAAATCATCACATTTTCTTTACAAATATTAAAAAACTAGTGGGATACCCGTGCGTTCGCGGGCACCGCTGTATTACACGCATTTGAACTCAAAAATAAATTTAAAATAAAATGTTTAATGATAGTTAGTATATTATATAAAGTATAAATAAAGTTAAAATGTAATAATAAAAAGAATTGAAGAATTAATATTGAATAAAAATTTAAAAAAAACAAATAATTTTAAAATAATAATTTATTATTGGTAAAAAACTATATAGAAGTGTTCCAAATGTTATGATAATTTTAGTTTCTATATGATCTCAAGTTTGATGGTTTTCATTATATTATTTTTATGATTAAATGAAGTCTAAAAATGGTGTTTGCTTATAAAACTTGAAAAAGAATTAATTAATTGTATAGTTAATGAAAAAAATTTAGCAGTAAATTAATATTTCTGTTAATATTTCATATTTTGATCAGTAACTTTATGTTTTCGTTAATATTCAATATTTTGATCAGTAACTTCATTTTTCTGTTATATTCAGTATTTTAATCAGTAACTTTGTATTCCCGTTAATATTCAATATTTTAATCAGTAATTTTGTGTTTCCGTTAATATTCAATATTTTGATCAGTAATTTCATGTTCCCGTTAATATTAAATATTTGATCTGTAACTTCTTGTTCCCGTTAATATTCAATATTTTGATCAGTAACTTCATGTTCCCGTTAATATTAAATATTCTGATCAATAATTTCATGTTTTCGTTAATATTCAATATTTTGATCAGTAACTTCACGTTCCCCTTAATATTCAATAATTTGGTCACTAATTTTGTGTTTTCTTTAATATTCAATATTTTGATCAGTAAGTTTGTGTTTTCTTTAATATTCAAAATTTTGATCAATAATTTCGTATTCGCGTTAACATTCAATATTTCAATCAGTAACTTCACGTTCCCGTTAATATTAAATATTTTTATCGGTAACTTCATGTTTCCGTTAATATTAAATATTTTGATAAGTAACTACATGTTCACGTTAAAATTTAATATTTTTATCACTAACTTTATGTTTGTGTTAATATTCAAAATTTTAATCAATAACTTTATATTCTCGTTGATATTAAATATTTTGGTCAGTAACTTCATGTTCTCGTTAATATTCAATATTTTGATCAAGAATTATATGTTTCCGTTAAAATTTAATATTTTTATCAGTAACTTTATATTCCTGTTAATATTCAAAATTTTGATCAATAACTTTATTTCCCGTTAATATTAAATTTTTTGTTGATTGGAATTAATTTTGCATGCATATTTGGCAATAGAGAGAAACAAATTTGAATTTACAATGAAGGAAGATTAAGAGTGAAAAGCATAATGTGAAAAATAGTCGTCTCTAGGAAGATGTGCAAAATATAACTATAACAACAAATTAAATTAAATATCGATTAAAGTTTTAGCCTACATCTATCACTACAATAAAATATAAACAATATTTCTGTCATAGATTTAGATTTTTTAAAATAACTAAAGTGTAAAATAAAAAATAAAAATATCTTCGTAAACTCACAATTTGTTATGATGTACTTACAAACAATATTTATCATTGGTTTATTAACTAGTTGATTATATTTATTTCTTTACACTCTAAAGTGAATTAGTTACTTTAGAAGAATCAAACTCCACGGTCATATATGAAGGGCTCGACTTCAAACTCTATTTTGTTGCTAAGAGTGCTCAATTTACTAAAAATTTCAGTGATTTCTCCTAGCTTGCTGGTGCATGTTGTGATGGGAGTCAATGGCAACTTGAATGATGAAAGCCAGTAGCAATTATTTCCATTGATTCTCATCACGACTTGGTCCCGTCTACTTGGAAATCCCGTACAATACAAGTATTGATATTCTAACGGGTATTTTCATTATTCTTTCTATATTACAAGTGACTTTTGAAATTCATTCATTTTATTGTCTTTAAAGTATTTTACCGAGTTAGTTTCATTTGGTGCATTTACCTAATCTAATTATTATTCATCTTAAGTGAAAGTAAAATACATTTAGAAGAAGAAATCTATAAGGAAATAGCAGCAGATAGTTTCAGCATCCATCGTAACTGAAATGATTGAATGGAAAATTATATTCAATATCACTACTATAATTCAAACTAATAGCTAATGGTTACTCACGGTTGATGTGGTATATAATGCCAATTTGCCAAATATTATTTTAGTTTGGATTTTGTTTCGCGCCTGTCAAATGGTGCAGTAAGAGCGAGTCAACACCAGAGGCCAAATTCAGAACACCGTCACAAAATGTTGATGGCCATCTCATGCCATTAATACGAAAATATTAGTTTTTCTTTTATAATGTATGCCCTATTAGTAATATATGCTACTGCTATCTCAAGCTAAGTGAATTTAATATATGCTACTGCTAATAATACTATAATTAAAAGAACAAATGCAAAACCAAGGACATTGACATATGCAGCCCCCAACGTTGTTGTATGGCACATTGACATATGCATCCATCACCAAAAAATTAGCATATGCTCTCCCTACACACATAGACAATCGGATGCAAAAACATCATATTACAAAAAAAATGTTGTCTTGTTTGGAAACAACACACCACCCATATACAAAACAGGAAAACATTGCCTCAATTTAACAAAGGGGAAATCTTGTAATTTTAAGCAACTAATAGTTAATTCCATTATCAAGACTGCCAGCAAACATGTGCACATTATATAACATAGCTTAAAATAAGAAAAATCAAATACCATATCAAAAACAACAAAGGTTATTGGATGGTAGTAAAACTATCTAAAATTGTAATATGCAACTGATGCACTCTGCAGGATGGGACAAAAGAGAACAATGCCTACAGTTTAAAATCTAGTGATCTGTGACAGCTTACTTACACGTATGACGAATCTAACACGTGCAGCATATGCATTATAAAACACATGTACTTCAGCTCCTGATACGAACTCGTGACCCATATAGGGCTCATCAACTGTTCTAATAGCTGATAATGCAGGAATTGCTAACAGAATTTGCTCCACTCTAGAAGAATCTTGATTCATATTATCATATTGATCATGTTCTTCTGTTGGATCGAAACATTTGCCATCAACTTTTTCTTTGTCAGTTATGCTACTGCTAACCTCTCAAGTAGTAACATTTCTTATTGTATCACCATTACTTGAGTCATCAATCTCAAACTCCACTGCACAAAAAAAAGATCTTCTATAAGATATTAATTGCAAGATGATACTCTACAGAGCAGTCTCTATATAACTAAAGAAATACACCATCGGCGAAGATAAGAATTATGAAAGAACCAGAGGAAAAAACATATATAGTCTTAATTCCAAAATTCTTCCTTTTCATTATTATTTTCAGAAGAAAGCTTAGCACATAAAAGAGATTTTGTAAATAACATATATAACGCAATAGGAAAACTTTTATAAAAGGAACTCATGTCTGGTAAAGACAAACACCTCTCATTGCTCTAACCAAGCTATAATATGGATTTACATTACTCTGATTACTCATTATGCCAAAGATCATCTGTCCCTAATAAAATAAAATAAAATCTGAAGTTTAAAATGCATAAAAAATAGACTGCCCTTTGCAGCTTGGTATTTACAATTGGAAAAACATACATGTATTCTAAAGAAGTGTTTGGTGTAAGAGTAAATATGGAGTAAGTCAGCAACAACATCGTGCCAACATTTATATGTACAAGAAAGACTTCAAATCTCATCCCTCAACCTATTAACAAAGGGGCAGGAAATAAACTTTGAAGATTGCAAGTTCCACCAGGTTCAAATACATACATACAAGCTAGAAGCAAGAACCAATTACTGTAATGTAGATTTCAGAAGCTCTTTCTAAATATATTTCAAACCTGAAGGATTGTGAGCATGGCTGTATGATTTGAGATCATTCAAGATGTGTTCTTCCACATAAGCGGTTATGCACTGAAGAAGCTACTCAACAAATAGCTCTCTCCTTTCCAAAGAGATGAAACAATTACTTCAGGACTGAGATTCTCAATAGGAAGTGTGCTTTTCGAGGTTGCAATTATGCATCATCATTATCAATTGACATATCTCAGCAGCAGCTAATAAAATTATCTTGTATGACAAATTCGAGTTCATGTCTGCAATTAAACAACACATAGAAAATTTGCAAAGTTTCTGATATTTGTGAATGGTGGAAATATCAGAACCTTTTCAAAGTTTTCTTCTGTTAAAATTACCTCTTCTACATAGTCAAAATTCAACCATTGTCAATATCAATTGGTTAACAAAATCATGAACCTGTTATACTTAAGGCTTGTGTTTGAAAGACCGGATGCAAAAGCCATAATAACACCAAGTGAAAATATATCAGAGAATGGAGCTGATTTAGATGGAGGCGATACTTGAAGCACCAATATAGTTTTGAAAATTGCAAGCAGAACCTAACTAATAAACCTAACCATTTGCCATTCATAAATGACAAAACCTGAACACATAATAGATGCAAAAAGTTAATAAAAAATATTATCAGTGCTACTAATCGCGTCTTGCTAAGTGATTTTGACCCCATTGTTACCAGTTCCGATATTGCTTTCCTCCTAAGATTGATGCTGCTTCCCTACTGAAGCTACATTTACTTTCAGATCATTTTATAACTTTAGAACGGTTTTCAGATCTGAAATTACAAGCCAACATCATATTGTAATTCAAGCAACCACAACAACAACATATTTTACACTACCTAATCTAGAAGTATAAGAAACTTTAAACATAGAGAAAATATAATCAACATGAACATGGTTCTAACTACATACATCTACATTCTTTTAATGTCGTATCTAACATGTATGATGCATAACTGGTGTACGTACTTTGAAATATAATTTGATAAGTTGGAAGACTTACTGTCTCGAATTTCAAGTAAAAAAATAGAATACTCACTATGTATCCAGGTTCTTTCTCCTGATAAGACTCAGGTTTCTCAAGCTTTATGTAGGTGATTGATGTGACAAACTCAAAAAGTCTGAGACACAGCTGAAGTGGTCCGTGGAAGAATAACAACTGACTTGAGAAAAATGGTGATTTAAAGAAACATAACAGAAATGCCAATCTTACAGCAAGTTACATGATGCAATGAGAAAAAAACTGAATTCAACCTTAACCAATTGTTGATTGGGTTTGACTCCTCAAGTGACTCCAAGACAGCTTGATCAGTAACAAATTGCACAAAGCTTCTTACAACAGGAAGACTAACCTGCTAACTCTTGAATACCGTCAAGGGAAGGTTCACAACTTAACACTGAAACAATTATCATAATCTCTTCACATTACTTCTCCAGTGGCATCACTAGAAAATGTAGACTTAAAACCCTCAATAAATCTAGTTGTTGCATCCAAATTTAATCATTTCAAGCTGATTTTTTGTACACTATTAAATTATCACCTTTTCTTTACAAATATTAAAAAATATCACAAAAATATTTTTTATTTCCTTTTTTTATTTTAAATCATAACCTTTTCCACAAATTAACCTTTTCTTTTTTAGAATTAAAACTAAATTAGACTTAGATTTTTATTTTGTTTTCTTTTTAATTAATTTAGACTTTAGGTTTTATTAAATAATTAATTAACTTCTCTTGTAAATTAATTAGTTCAATTTACTTTAATTAAAACCTTTTCATACAAAAAACCATAAAAAAACTGTTTTCTTTTCTTTTACATTATTTTTATCTTCTTGTGCATTCTATTATTCAATATGGTTGTAATAGTAATTAGGTTTTAATAGCTTCCTTCCCCCATTTATAAATTATACCCTCATCCCCAAATGATGTAATAGCGTAGAATTTTACATTTTCGCAATTTATCGCTTTCAATATAAATGCTAGTAATTAGGGTTTGTATGGCAAGACATAAAATCAACTAATAGAAAACCTTAATTCAAGAAAAAAATGCATGGAAAACAAACACTTTGCACACTTGCACCTCTAGGGTTAACCCACACTTGTTGCCTCGGATAAAACAATCATGTCCCTCGAATGTGAGATACTTTAGCAATGACCCTCAAATACAAGATCGTAGTCCCTCGATGACCCTTCAATGTTTCCTTCGGTAAACGATCTTAGACCCTTACAAAAATTGCTAAGGTGTCCTACAATCTTTCTTTCTATGACTATACGACGATCCACGTCTTTCCCTTCATATCCAATGATAGGGTTTATTACCAATCAATAGTAAGATAGTAATATCTAAAGGAGGAGGAAATGAACAAATACTTTTTTGAGTAGGTAGAACGCTCGTAGTTGCTTGCTCACAACCATTTTCAAAACATCTTTCAAACACACCAACACTTTCAAAATAAAATATTTTCAAAAGTCAACATTTTGTATGCATTCTTATAGAGACGAGAATCATTACAAAGTTCGCCTAAACGAAGGAACTTTTCAAAAATACTTTCAAAACTATCACAAACACATTTCAAACAAAGCATTTTTAAAGTGAGCTAGCAACTAAGAGCCCGTAGATAACTACAGATGAAAAGGGTGCTAACACCTTCTCTTTTTATAACCTACCCCCCAAACTCAAGAAAATATCTCAAAAGGTCTTTCCTGTTCTTTTCACTCTTTCCTTTATTAGATAAAAGAAAAGTCGGTGGCAACTCTTGCTATCCGCAATAGTTGCGATAAAACGCAAAACACCCAAGTCAGTTCTTTCACAGTATTACAATTAGGTATAAAGTGATCATCAGGACTGACCTAACAATGTTAGACTTCCCTCGACACTCTAAATGGTGTGCAATTTCAACATCGTTGGGCTCACGACCATTCATTCGCCTATACAACCCGACAAAGCTACTAGGACATTCCCCATTTGATGGGAAACTTCTATTTCCGCCTCAGTCAAGACATGGGAAGGCGGTAGATTCTCAACATAACTCTGCTCGGATTTCTCTCAAAGTAGAGCCTCTGAAGAATCCATGTAAAGAGCTCTATATGAAAGAGATCTACATACAATTCCTTCTTTTTCGAATCATTAACAAGAGAGATGGTCTCCGAGTCAAAGTCCCCATTGGTAGAAGAAAAGACATGTGATTCAGATTCCATTCCCCTTTTTCAAAGAAGAACAAGTGCTACTTTCTGAATTAGTCTCTATGATAATAGGGTTATTGTTCATATTAACAATGAGACAACAAATTCTTGAAGAAAAAAGAATGAGTTGGAGGAAAGTACCTTAGAGTGTAAGGTCAAAGGCAGAGATGCAAAGTCTGAAGGTCGAAGCTTGGAAGCTTTGAATACTTGATGACAGTTACTCCAGGAAAAGCACTATAAGAAAAAAGGGAAATGTTCAAAGAAAATAAGTCATAATACCCATCAAAGATTCTGAATGCAGTTTTGTGAGTGTCTTTTGACACTACCTTAATTTGGTGGTAGTCTAAATGTAAGTCAATCTTTGTAAACAAAGATGTAAAACCCAGCTCGCCAAAGAGTTCATCAATTGTGGATATTGGAAAATGATCTCAGAAGGTAACAACAATTAAAGTGCATGAAACGATCACACAAAATCGCCAAGTACCGTCTTTTTTGAACTAGACTATTTTTTGGATTGACTTCCTCACTTGAAACTAAATTCTCACAATATTTTAAAGTTAAAGCCTTTAAAAATAATCGTTTTTATTTCTATGCACAAACTGGTTTATATTTACCAAAAACATTTAAACAAAATTATATCCATCTAGTTTTCCTTGATTTCCTACTGGAAAAATAAGAGTTAAGAATACATCAGAACTTAATACTACACTCTCCCAGTAAAAGCAGGGACTTCACTATATATCTTTGTTTCTTTTCTTCACTTACACAAAAAGAAAGAAATTTTGTGAAAACAAACTCTCGGTCTACACTCTGAAGTCCATTATCTCTATCGATGATCTAGATATGCAATTGAGATCCTAACTTCCCAATTTGTCTAACTCACAATTTAGGTCTTCCAATATCTACCTAATGACTTAGATGGACCGACTACACTAACTTGACAAAATTTTCACCCAGCGAACTTGATAGCGCACTAACTGTACAAAATTCCAAAAGTAGTGAACGAGTACAAAATTCCTACAGCAGCGAATAGGAGTATAAAATTCCTACGACAATGAATAGGAGTACAAAATTCATGGCAGCCACCCAGAACAGCTTCACATTACTAGTGCAAAGAGATAAAAGATAAAAACTTAATACATACTGAAAATATAGAGATGACCAAAATTAAGCAAGCAAGGATAGCCTTTTCAAAGAATCAACTATCCATTTTTTAACAAAATTAGCGGGATACTCGTGCGTTCGCACGAGTACTAGTATGATATGTTTGCTTTTATTTTCAAAATACCATAAAAATGTAAATATGAAAAACAATTTTATTTTACCAAAATAGTTTATTATTTTTATAAAAAAAAACATATTTTTAAAATAACAACATATTTGTTTTACCAAAATTGTTTTATATCAATAATATATAGTTCAATTTTTCACTAATCGAGACCCCACGTGCTAATCAGGTCAGAAATACATTTGTCATTTAGTTTCAATTTTTTATTAGTATTATTTAAATATATTTTTTTAATGTATTCATACATGTTTTACTTTATCTTAGGAGTTAGTGTTTTCTCCAACTCCTAGAGAAAAGAGGAAAGTAGTAATTTCTACAAATATAGCATAGACATCACTCACATTTTGGAGGTAACTTCCATCTTCTCTACAACATGTCTGTCCTTAATTAAATTAAAAAAAGGGCTCCTATTATACTCAAATTTTCCTAATTGTGCATGGCATTGTCTATGTTGTTGACAGTGGATTCTCACAACAGCGATTCTACAATCCGGTATTTCCATTCTGTTGTTTCTATGAAAAATATGTATAGTAATTGACCAGTAATGATTTGGTCCTGTTGTTTATAAATGTCAATTTTGTTCATATTTGATGTTACAAAAGCACAAGTTTACTGGATCAATACTCTAATCTTCTATTTATGCTTGCATTCAGTTTCATTTGGTCATATGCAAGTTTCATCTAACACTTCTATTTATGTTTGCTCCTTCCTACAGTATAATCAACAGCATGCATTAAAAAGCAGTGAGGTCTAACACAATAAACTCCTTGCACCATACAGAGCAGTCCATTAACTGAATTCAATGTATATGATATAATCTAGCGTTTTGCAAAAGTACTAGGGAAATTACTCTGGAAGCAAACTCCCAATTACAGAACATTGAAGCAATGACAAAAAAGCACACGAATTGAATTTCTAACCGGAAATCAACTTTGATAAGTGCCTTTCTGGCAAGGAAAAGTAACCATAAGCTAAAACAAAACTTCAAAAAAAGAAAGAGTGAGCAAGAAAGAGTGTCCACTGAATCTAAAAGATCACTCTGACATTGTTTCTCCATCCATCAACCAATATTGTTCTATATGTAAATAAGACTCTTATACAATTAAAATCAAAGAACTATGCAGTCAATTTTGCAGCCTCAACGCGGAATTGCGGTTCAGCGTCGCCTTTGGCAGAGGTGGATGACTATCGCCACCGCATATCACGCTTGAATTGCATCCAAACACATGTTATAAAAGAGGAGAAGAAAAATCCTTGAAATGAAAAGAAAAAAAATGAAACAAACATCAAACCGCAGTAGGGCTTTCACAGGCCGTGCAGCAAAATTCTAACATACCACCAACCCTGAGCTGTAATACAAAGTCACAAACAAATAAAACATACTATTATTCAGTTCAAGTGCTCCAATGAGCTCCATAAAGCTAGGCATTCAATATTTACGTTAATGACAGACATCAAACCGGTCTTGAATTGTAAAACACCTGGACCTTCACTGTTGGGATCCAAGCAGTCTAAATCAATTGAACAATTAGCTATGAGACGAGAATAAAAGTAAATTCCAGTCAAGCTTTGAGTGTATGAACTATGCAGATACCGTACTGATGACTTCGCCAGAGTAAATTCCCGTCGTCAAATCAATTTCCGACTGCACTAACTTGACAAAATTTTCACCCAGTGAATTTGAGTATCGCACTAACTGTACAAAATTCCAAAAGCAGTGAACGAGTACAAAATTCCTAAGGCAGTGAATAGGAGTACAATATTCCTACGGCAGTGAATAGGAGTACAGAATTCCTACAGCAGTGAATAGGAGTACAAAATTCATGGCAGCCACCCAGAACAGCTTCACATTACTAGTGCAAAGAGATAAAAGATAAAACTTAATACAGACTGAAAATATAGAGATGACCAAAATCATCAGCAAGCAGGGATAGCCTTTTCAAAGAATCAGCTATCCATCTTTTTGACAAAATATCTAGAATTTTGAAAGTGGAGTGGCTCATTTCCCCAAGCAACCCATCCAGCCATAATTTCTCTAGCAAATAGCTCAACACATCGGGGAGGCTTGATCCCAGGAATGTACTCCTGTAATAAATCTGACCACACCAGTATGAAGAAACATCAGCATTAAAACAGTGTACCAACTTTCAGCGCAACTTATTTACTCGCACTTTCATAAACTGAAAACACACTATTAATCCAGACAACAATACCTGCAATTGGAGGTTTCCTTGAGTAATCCCCAGGAATGCTCATAATCACATGATCCTCCTTCAAAGGCTTAAACTTAGATCGGTTATCAGAATGTTTTACCTAGAAAATACCATATAACACAAGTGATATATAAAAAGAAGTGAGAGAAAAAAACTGATGGTTAGAAGGCCAATTAGTTAAACATTACAAGGCCAGACCTTCCCAGGACTGTATCCCAAAATAAGACTTTCATATGGCCTATGATGGAAAAGATCTAAATCACTAATCAAGGATCCATTTGCTTTCACCTGCAATAGACAACAAACACGAGAGATTGGAATTTGGAACGGCATCAAACACTGGAATGGCAAGCAAATAGGAGTAACCACAAGCTACCTTCAGCCAATGAAAAGTTGCAGCATAGCTGACCCCCCACGCAGCAAAAAGCTCTTTCTCAACAAAACTACGTAGCTTCTCTCTGTTTGTTACCCATAATGCCACAAGGGCACCTTCAGTGTGAGTTAGTTGCTTAATAGGAAGGGATAAAAAGTACCTATTGGGCAAGGTTGGGTACCTACATAGATGACACAACCTATCTGAGATTTATTTAAAATAAGCCACAATTCTAAGCCAGTTTAGACTGAGTGATGGCTATTAAGTTCATCAGTTAGTCGCATAGCTATTTCCATTTACAATATTATTGAATGCTGAAGTGTATCTCAAAAACTAAATAAAGTTCATTCTTTTTCATGCAAGTAATCTAGCAACCTTCCTCTCCACCCCCAACATAAAAAAGTGAAAATAAATTTTTTAAAAAAGGTTTCAACTTCTCAATAAGTTTGTGGGAGAAACATATTTCTCAAAAATGAAGATCAAAGCGATGCATGGCTTTAAAGTCAATACAAGGTTAATTTATCCAACATAAAAATCTCTTTCATCAGACAATGTATGGTAACATCAAATTTTTGATACTGCATCAGGAAAGCATATTGCAAACAAATCTTTTTTGTCACCTTGATTTCTGATGAGCACTGGCATTTTCCCAAGGTGGATCCACCATTATGAGGTTGAAACCACAATCAGCATGAGCTGTAAAATTCATTAAAGATCCCAATTAAATATGAAAGTTAACAGCCCCATACATGACCAGCTAGGCAGCTAAACACAAATAAGTTCTTTAAGAAATGCCACAATGAATCTCAGCAACTGAGTTGCCATTGATAACATGATACAGGAAGACTGGCAAGACTCAATATTCACATGTTATGCAATTTTTGGGAATAATATTGTAAGCAATAAACATAGTTAGAAATGTTATTAATAAGTAAAAAGGATGTCAACTCTTTCATGAAGGCAATTGTTGCATAAAAATAAACACTTGTATTTTATATCAATAACACAGATATGATGAAGAACTTGAGGCATATAACAAGTAAAATTTGAGTTGTGTCTGAACCATTACCGGGAATAAGATTGCGAATCTGTCCCAGATCTGACTTCCATAAATGAAAATGAAATCAAAAGTTAACTAAGATACACTCCATTGGGGTTAAAAGCTTAACTGACAAAAAGTCTAAGAAAACAAAGCCTTGATATGAGCAAAAAAAGAGTACACAAGAAACAGCCTGTATAATTAGACACGTCCCAAAATTTATCTTGGCGGCTCAACATACCATGTAAAAGCAGCTCTCTCGAGGCATAATGTAATGATTGTTCAAAATCTCAGCCACCGCATCATCCTCCGTGTCATTTACAACCAAATTATTGAATGCGGGAAGTATTGACCTCTGCTCACAGTATTGCACATTTGGGGAGTCTGAGAAGTCACAGACTTACATATTAGTACAGTAAGATTGTTTACACCAGAAACTCCATACAATTTAACTAATGAATGAGTAGCCTGACAATGTAGTAACAATTTGAGAAACTAATTATACTTGTTACTGTTAGCAACATATAAACAAATATCTAAACTGTGACATCAAAAACTCTTGGACCCAAGTCATAGCCAATGTTCATATTGGATTGTTCAAACATGATAAAATGGTAATAAAAAAAAAAACTCAATAAAATATATTTCATCACATTACATCCAGTGCATAGCCAATTATTCATTCTTCTCCCCCATTGGAAAATAATCTCAATAGCTCGATAATTTTACACTGATAATGATAACGTAAAATATTTCCCCAACTCCTCGCATTATAAATGATGAAACATGATTGAGATTTATTATAAGTGTGTAGTTACTGAATTGTAATCTGAATACCATTTCATGCACTACATTGATTAATGAAATGATTAACTACAAACACTCTTTTATTTCTTCATAGAACAATCAAAAAACACAAAAAAAAATTGGTTCCCCTAAGACAAAACACTAAACTACATGAACATCAATAACCAAGATGAATGTAGGATAACAAAAATCACACCTTCCAAATCCTTATAAGTTTCAGGAACAGGGACACGTAAATTCAGCGTAAGAACAAGTTGGGGCGATTGCAGTGCCAATTCAACGAAGCATTGTTCATCATCACCCACACATTTCTCTTTCAAGCAATAAGAAGAAGCACCTTCACTTCTGAAAGTTCTGAAAGCATCCAAAAGTTCATTCGATTTCAACAAACACTCATGTGCCTTCACCAACAAAGGCCTCAATTCCTACACTAAACACAACAACAATCAATTCAAAACACTAGAATACTATAAACGTTAAGTTCCAATTTTATAAATAATTGTCAAAATAAAAAAACCTGATGGCGTCGAAATGCGATTAGTTCTCTCTCGTTCAATGCTTTGGGACTCCGTTTTCGTTTTTTCCGTTTCCGTTTAGTGGGAGAGGAAGGAACGGTGGTGGAAGTAAGGGTTTGGAAGAAACGGGGGTAGTAGGTGGATGGAGAAACGGTGTGGCGGATGTAGGAACGATTTAGAATGCGCACGGGATCGATGAAAACGGTGTTTGAATCGTTGAAGTGGTATATGCCGGATTCACGGAAGAGTGCAAGCTTTTGTGAGTCTTCCATTCGTTCTCACCACAGCTCAACAAGAGTTGATGCTCCAAGTAATCAAACAAATGGTTGACCAAACTTTGGAGCAAGTTTTCAATCAGGCAGAGTTTTTGAGTATTTTACCTGCCAACCCCCATATTATATTATATTTGCCACACCAATTTTTTTTATTCTGTTACTTACCTTTACAAATATTATATTTGTTAAAAAGAAATTATTACTTATTTTATTCAAGAGGGGTGAAAATCAAAATTTCCAAAGGGTATACGGAAACTTTTGGTATTAAAATTGCAAGTTTATTGGAAATTGTTTGACTTTTCAAAAATTTTGAGGGTGATTTATCGGAAATTTGATAATTTTCAAGTTGATTTAAAAGAAATTTAAAAATTTATCCCTACACTATTAGGAGATACTTATTATTCCATCCATCTTCACGATCTTTATCATGGATGGATGATCATTTGTTGCATGTTTTTGCTATATCAGTGGTTTATTTCTCACTTACCTCGGTTTGTAGCTTTCTAGGATATCAAGAAGGAACTTTGTTGAGAACCGAAGATAATGGCTCTCACTCATTCCGATATTGTTTGGTATCATCAGGCTTATTATGACGTTGAGATTATTGATAGTTGTGTAATTTCCCTAATGTACCTCTTCTTGGTACAAAGGGAGGAATTAACTATAATTATGTTCTTGCGCATCGTAAAATGGGGGTGAGAAGAAGTAAAAACAAAAACAGAAACAGGCCCAGATTCTGGGAAGCCCAACGTTGTTGGTGATCCCATGTGGTTGGCCTATGAGAGTTCATGGTTGACAAGCGCATTTGATGTGTTGGACTTGTTAGTATAATGATCTGATGGTGTTAGTGTGAAGTGCATGTTAGGCGCGCATAGCCTGCCTGTATAGAATCTGAAAGAAGGAAATGTAAAAAAAAATTAAAAGGGGTACCAGTGGGACTCGAACCCAGGTCCCTACACACTAATGCCTTACGCGCGCTTCCTCTGCCACTGGGGTGGTTGTTTCATCCATTAATAATACAACTTGCAATAAATTTAAAATAAACCTCTTCCTAATGGCACTTCATCCCTAACCTCGCGCCAGCATCTCCAACACCATTTTTGAATTTTGTAACTTTCTCATTTCTCAATCATTTGCAAAAGTATAAATATGAAACTTACTCCATTTTCAATACGAACTCAACCATGTAAACAACTTAAACTATAAATCAAAGATGAACATTAATTTTTGTTGGTACCAAATAAAACCTAATTTTTTCAGAAAGTTCAAACTCAAAATTTGCATCACTCAGGCAACATAAATGAAAACTAAAGGCATGGTTAGCTTCAGGGCTATAATGCCTACATTTTTCATTCACAAAGTAACCATTAATGATGCTTGTAGAGAGAGTTCAAAGTTGAGAAAACTTACCTCAAAACTGGAAATCGTGTATGGAGTTTGAGCACTTCTGGAGGTGTTGTGATGATCTAGATAGCTTCACTGCAGTCCTAGGAAGCTAATGCAAATATTACTTTATGCTGAAAGTGCCTGAATCGTGTTGGAGAAGTCAATGTGCAGAGTTCTGTTTTTGAGTTTGGAAGACGAGGAAGATGATGTTACAGTTGCGAAACAGGGGTGGGGATGAGTTATTTATGATGTATAGATGCTTTGTAAATGATTAGAAGTGAAAACGCACGAGGGATTTGAGTGTTTGAAGTTTTTGGTCAAAAATGCCAACAATGGAGGTTTGTGTGCAATTCTGTATTTTAGGGAGTTTGAGTGAGTTTAAGGGCTACTGAATTAGTGTCTTGGCTTGAAAATAGTGTCTCTATTTATAGAGAAGAGGTTTGGAATGCTCAAGTTGATCAGAATTCAAAATCACATGTTAAGCTCAACATGTGATTTTCTTGAAAAATTAAGTTTCAGTGCCTTATACCTTTGATCATATAGTGGTTAAACACTTTAATCACAATGCTTCTGACCTTGTAGATGAAGTGTGATCAGAGGGAACAAGTGAGAGGCTCAAGAGTTGACTTTGTGCATAAATCTTACTTTTCAAGAATGGCAATGTTAACTTTCTCCCCAAAATGGCAAATTGACTTGGACAATGCTTAAACTACTTGGATCATAGCTCAAAAGTTTGTGTAATCCATTAATTATGGGTAGATACATATGTTAGAAGACCTACAAAGCAATATTATGCAGTGTTGTACCCCAAAAATTTCCCTCTCATTTCTCAAGAATTTTCTCACAAGATCTCCATTGATTCAAGATTGCACAAGGTTTGATCAGCTCTAGATACCTCTTCAAACACTGATGACTCAAAATTAGGGTTTGAGTTTGTATATGGACAATTGGACCTTTGATGCTTCATATGATTTTCACAGATCATATTGGGCTCTCAAGCATCAGGTCAAAGAAAGGAGGAAGAGGAAACTGTCGAAAGGGCAAAGCAGATCGAAAGGTGTGCAGCTGCAGATAACAGTTCGAATTCAAAATCTGGTTCAGGATGTTCGAACGACATGACTGATTGAAAAGGAGTGGTGGGTAGATTTTGATAAATCGAAGAAGATAATGCTTGCTTCGATCCACAAGCTTCGATTGGACAATGGCTATCTTCATGCTTGCTTCGATCCACAAGCTTCAATTGGGCAATGGCTATCTTCATGCTTGCTTCGATCCACAAGCTTCGATTGGGAAATGGCTATCTTCATGCTTGCTTCGATCCACAAGGCAATGGCTATCTTCATGCTTGCTTCGATCCACAAGGCAATAGTTTCCTTCATGCTTGCTTCGATCCACAAAGCAATGAATTCCTTCATGCTTGCTTAGATCCACAAGGCAATGGCTTCCTTCATGCTTGCTTCGATCCACAAGGCAATGGCTTCCTTCATGCTTGTTTCGATCCACAAGCTTCGACTGGGCATTGGCTTCCTTCGAGCAACTTGCTTCAATCCACATACTAAACCCTTCGACACACATAGTTTCGACACTATGAGTTACAAGTCTATCTTCACGCTTGCTTCGATCCACAAAGTGGTACATTCAAATGAATATGGTCCATTTGAAGAACATACAATTGGTGGAAACAAATATTGTTTTGTCTGATGAATTCGGTCGAAAGTTATGGATCATCGTGATCAAAACGAAAGGGTAGAGTATTCGATTCAAGGAATCAAGTTAAAGAAAAAATTTTGAAAGAAAACATTGATAAACAACTTATTGACCAAATTTGATATTTTTAATGTCTTGATGAATCTTGACCTTTGAAATTCAATGTTGACCAAAAAGTCAAATTTTGACTTTTTATGTATCAGTTGACTTTTTATCAGTTGATCAAATTTCAACTATCAATCCATTGATCTTGAGAAATGATTTGAGCCATGAAATTAAGTCAATATATTATGTTTGAATCCTTGAGATCATGCTTCAAATCATTAGGTCATGTACTAGGTCAAAAGTCAATGATCATTCATTCTCAGTCAAAACCCTAATTTTGATAGTTTTGCCCCTTTGATGATTTGAATGCTTTTCTTGAGGAACTGTGATCACACTTTATCAATTGATGAATATGACTTCAAAATGTTGATGTTGGCCAAAAATCATGAAGTTTGACTATATATTGACCACAATTGACTTTTTAACCCATACAGCTGCTTTTCAGTCATCTGAGCAATTCACTGAGCAAATTTGTGATGCAAGACTTAAAATCACAAATTTGCTCAGTCAATTGCTCAGATGACTAAAAATCAGTTGTATTGAGTAAAAAGTCAATTATGGCCAAAGTACAGTCAAACTTCATGATTTTTGGCCAACATCAACATTTTGAGGTCATATTTATCAACTGGTCAAGGTTTGATCATAATGCCTCAAGAAAAGCATTCAAATCATCAAAGAGGCAAAATTGTCAAAATTAGGGTTTTGATTGGGAATGACTGATTATTGACTTCTGACCTAGTACATGACCTAATGGCTTGAAGCATGATATCAAGGAATCAAATGCAACATGTTGACCTAATTTCATGTCTTAAATCATTTCTCAAGATCAATGGATTGATAGTTGAAATTTGATCAACTAATGAAAAGTCTGAAGAAGTAAAAAACACAAGAAGGGGGGTTGAATTGTAAAACTGAAAATCAATGCAATGAACACGGTATTTTTATCCTGGTTCGTTTGATCTCAAACTACTCCAGTCCACCCGTCAAGGTGATTTCGCCTCTCTCCAACGAGGTCTTAATCCACTATATTCAACTGAATATTACAATCCGCTTTAACAACTGCTAAAGCCTTCTTGATGCAAACCACAAACCGGTTTGTCAAGGAATCACTTTCTTACAAGGAATTGAAAACTAGGTGTGTGAATGTTTTCTACAAAACTGTTTATCACAACTGTGATATTACACAACTTAAGCTTATGGAAACTAGATTGCTAAAATAATTGAGTAAGGACTTTTGGAGCTTTTAGCAAACTGAGAATAAGAAGATGATGAATAGCTTTTAGGCGTGTAAATTGATGTAGAGCATTAGCCAATTCAATCTTCATTGTCTTGTTTATATAGCATTGAAATTGATGAACGTTGGAGCAATAATCTTGATTCAATGCCAATTACAAACTTTCCTTATTAAGCAGATCTTGTCTGGAATGATGTCGTTGGTAATAACTCGTCTTGAATGCACAGTACCGTTGCTACTTAAAGCGTGTTCTGGATTTGGCTCATTCTGACGCTGCTTAAGTGCTGATGAACTGTTGTTGTCTTTATCAGAGATCAGAGTGTTAAGCGCAGTTCTGTTCATCAAGCTTCAGCATAAACGTGAGTTGTTCTTCTGATTCTGGTATCTGATATAGCAACTTCTGATGCTGATGTTGATAACCAATATTCTGATGCTGATTATGATGTACTCTTGCTGATACCTATTAGAGTTTCTGCGAAACAGAAAGTAATATTTTAGGTAGCAAATAGTTCTTACATGAATCACATAATTAATATATCTTTTCATTTTGTTATCATCAAAACTT